TTTTTTTTTTTTAGACTAAATCAAGGTCAACTGACTTAAAAAAAAAAAATTTAATAATTCCCCTACTTGTGAAATAACTGTACATTGAATAATCATTATATGGAGCCTGATGTTGCAGAGATAATTTTGCATCACTTGCCAATTTGAAGGTTAAAGGTCAAGGTCAACTTCAGGGGGGGGGGGTGTTACTTTGAAACATCTTTTTTAAAACACATGAAAGGAGCTAAATATACTCCTAGTACCCTTTTGAAAGTTTTTTTTTTTTGTATTTACTAAGTTCAAGGTCAAGGTCTCTTCTTCCATCTCATTTTTTAACAGACACACACAACTTTCGACATTTTCTCGATATCATTTATAATGAAAAATTAAACATAAACATGATAAATTCCAAACCATTTCAAGTTAGGTTGGATTCACAGAACTTGAAATCAAGTATCTTGATAGAGGTTTTCAAAGTGTACCCAAATATTCAATGTTAATTTTGGCGGGCCATTGCTATTAAGAGCATGAGGGAGTTGTCATTATTTTTTGAGATTAAATTCATCATCTAGTTCTGTTCCAAAAAGAGTGCTATTTCATTTGCTAAGGACAAGCAGAATCAAAGTACTGAGACAGTACTGAAAGACGGGGTCAAAATAATTTTCATGCTAGATTTCACAAATGTGATTTTTTTAAACGAGTTTTGATAATTTTTTTCTAATTAACAAACTAAAAACAAAACTGTGAGTAATATAGATTCGGTTTTCATTTAATTTGAAGTATAAAGTTCAATAATTGCTAAACCGAATTTCACCTGGTCCGAATTAATATTTCTCCGGAAGTAGACAATGGATGATGCGTATGCAGTCGTAATACTACGCAGGAGAGTACTTTGTTTACTAGTGTGTTTTACAATTTATATTTTGAGTTTACGTTTACAAAATGCTTCAATAATTTGATTTAGAAAAAAGTTCATATCACTTTGTTCAGTTTGATAGAGAATGTTTATATTTTGGTCAAAACTATTTCTGCACTCTTTCATATAGCGTAGATTTAATTCATGTGTTATCACCATGGCTAAAAATCACAAATCATGAAGGATTCCTTTCGTATGTAAGAGCCACTTTTGAAAGTTAAAATTCTCGTGTAAGTTGCAACAGTGTCAAATACATTACCGGAAAGTTGAATTGGAGGGACCAGTTTAAACTAAATTTACATGTAAACCTAACTTGAAGGTCATTGTATATCTATATTTAGAGATATATAGTGCAATAAGTTATGAAACTGGTATCTACTATCAAGGCACAGAAACAAATCACTCCAATTTACTTATACGTGAAGAAAAGCCAAAAATCATATATCAAACAAATATTAGTTAAAATTTGTCAAGTAAGAAAAAAAAAATAATGTACCTGAAAATTAAAACTGAAAAATGTATGATAGATTATAATTATAAAAATGATTCACCAAGCAGATGTTAAACTTAGACACTAACTTTTCTTTATTTTCATTCAAATGAAAAACAAATTAAACATCAAAACCAGCATAATTTAATTATATATTTATAAGCAGTCCATTTTGAGAGTTGTATCATTGAACTCCTGATTTATTGCCATAACAATTCTCTGACAAGTAAATAGATTGGTGATGATTTCAGAAGAAACGCTTCATTTATATTCAATGTAAGAGGAACATTAACTGACTGTACTTATTGAGTGCGTTTCTACCGTTTTCACCAATCAGGGTAAATTAACCTGTTCCTGAGAATCAGGTACATTGTGGGTCAGTGAAAATGACAGGTGATCTGTGAAACTGACACTGACCTAATTTTTTTCCCTGGGCTATTTAAATGAACATTAAAAGTGCAGGAAGTTTGCAGTCAGTTTGATTGCAGCAGTTGCATTTAGATTGTGCATTTAATTAATGTACCAGCACAATTAAACTCCACTGACTTCAAGATTACATGCATGCACATCAGGAACATTGAAATGTAAAGTACATGATGTTAATTATGGAGAAGGACTGCTAAATTTAAGCATTAAGTACATAATGGCAGAATGTATTTTTAAAAAAGTACATTTAATTGTTAGGTAGTTGATGCCCAACATTATAAAATTTGGCACAACATTTTAATAACTAAGTAGAAAATGATGGACTCTTAATGATCAATATTAAATCTATTCGCATAAAATGCACTTAATTTATATAAAGTTAAAACTTTTTAATTAAAAAGCTTTGTTGATATCCATGTAAAATGCACTTGATTTCCTATCTTTAATTAAAAGCCTCATTAAAACAATAGTGTAGTCATTTCTTGAACTCTTGGCAGTCTAAATTCACTGAGAGATAAAGAAAGGCTAGAAATCTAGTAAACTCACATCTGATCTTCAAAACATAATTTTTTTCTTGGCAGATTTTCAATTTTCTTTGCTGGTTTACATGAAAAAGAGGTTATAAAATTATTTTTGCTGGAGTATGCATTTATCGGTTTGTGTACAAACATGTATGTACCTGCATGCAAAATCTGACAAGCTTCAGTTTGTGAAAAAATTGATATGGTATTTATGACTCTATTTCTTGTCATTCATAAATATTTCTTAGTACAATATCTTAATGTACTATTGATCAAAAGCTGTATATATCTTAATTTCATAAATAACATCACCAAGATCAATGATACTAAAAGCCTCCCCAAGAATATACAGAGACAATTGACAACATGTACAATATAACATACACATTTTATAAATGTTAATCTTAAATTATGAGACATATGACAGTCAACAATGAACCTGCAGGTTGAAAGAATCCCCTTAACTCCAATGCAAAAAAATAATTGGAAATTATAGACTTAACGACACCATGTCATTTGTTCCTCACTAAGAAAAGATGTGTCGGGGTAATGTCAGAGCCTGGGGTATGTGTTTGTTTTCATCTCAGTATGGAACCAAAATTAAAAACACACCCACGGAGTCCTGAACAAGAAGTTGGTACGAGAGTGCTTAATTGTCCCGAAGCAAGATTTTCTGGGTTGGTAATTGTTCAAATTAGGTATTAAGTGCTATATCAGACCAGTGTTACACAAAAATATGTGTCAATATACATAACATGTACATGTCAAAAGAATTAGCATTTACTTGATAGGTAACCATCTTCCATAAAAACAGGTATTTATGGTAAAAAAAAATATGATATAGGATTTGGTAATTTCTTAATTAATCAATGATTCTGTTTCCACTTGTTACTGGGATTATAGTTGGCTACTAGAAACTGATGAATACTCAACCAGTTATAGCGAAGTGCATAATTTGACAAAAAACATATATACCACATGAATATTTTGGAGAGAGAGCTATGGAATTATTGTTCTTTTAATCAACTATTTCAGCCTCTCCCATAATTACTGGTAGTTTTTAGCAAATTAACTGAACATGCTTAACATGTAAAATGATCTCCGAGTCTACGATTGAGACACACTACTGCTATATATCTAATTCTAAATGTAGAGATAGCTTATAGTATGAAGAAAACACAAATACATCCCTCAGAAAGAACTCCTTGTTGTTTTTACATGGTGGGTGATAACATTCTTAAACTTAGCTTGTTAAATGGTTGTTTGCCACTCTGAAATGATCAGAGTTCAGTTAAACATGCACACCTGCTTTGTACAAAACTGGAGAAAAATTGGAAAAATTCCCAAAAAATCTTCACTTAAATTTCAAAGGCAACATTATGATGAATGTGTGCCTTGCAAATCTGTACACATATTTTATAACCTTAAAACAGAAAGCAGGGGATCATAGGACATTCCCAGTTAAATTATTACATGCTTAGCTTTTATTATATATTTCTTTGAAATAATATCTGGAAAACTTAATAACCATTGTTTAGAAGCCAAATCCCCCCCCTCCCCTCTACATGCCGTCTATTCATGTATCACTCAATACATGAATGGGATGTGCCTTGGCTGCTGATCTCACGGTATGCAACATTCTGCATCTGTTACCTTCTGACCATGTCATGCATTGCAGAAGTTTCCAGAAATAAAACAAAATGAAAAAAAGGTTTCTTCATTGCTAGAAAGCAACCAATCAATAGGGTTAAGAAAAAAAGTATATGTTAATGCTATTAAAATAGAGTCAATAGGTACTAGACAGGAATTTGTTTTTATTTTTCCCCCCTCTTGTAAGTTAGGCACAAAATTTTAAAATACAATTCTTTAATGACAGCTTATAGCTCTCTTCGTCAAGCCATATTTTTTTTACATCCACCTGACAGCTCTAAAAACAGTTACTAATGAGTGACCTTTCAACCCATTAAATATCCATTACTTTTTAAGAAAAAAACATAGATGTGCAATTTCCTGATTTTACAACAACAAAAAATATTTAGGTCAAGGCATAAAATTAGTGTCAGTCAGGTCACTATTAAAACAAACTTTTTTTTTCTTTAGGTCTTACAATAATTATTTTGAATGGGTAATACTTCAACACTGGTACGACTATTTTAAACTGACCATTTGCTTTAATGAAATGACAGATAGTTTTGCAAATTAAAACTTCACCTCTGATTTATTTAAACTTTGGTGTGCAATTTTTTTCCCCCGATATGATTAACACATATATGTTGTACCTAAAAGCATTCATCTTTAAATAAAGTATAGTTTTGTAGGCTAGAAATATCAAATGCAGGTATGCAATTGAAGTGGATATGATAAAACTTTAGTATACTGTAGTATATTCCCAAATCTGGTACATAGTGTCCAAGTGTACTGACAAAATTTTTGTAAGATATAGCTTATAGACTCAACTTCCTTCCAAATCTTGAAGTTAGTTTTTCATTTAAATCATCACAGATCACCAGGAAGTGCCTTTGATTAAAAATCCTGTATACTGGATAGGATGTGTAATAAACAATCAACAAGTACATGTACTTTTTACATTTCATCACTTAAAACTTGTATGGTTTACTAATATAATATAAATACAGAACTTGCATTTCTGGCATTGAATTATACTTACTATTACTTGACTTCAGATCACGATGCACCAAAGGTATTGGAGATTCTTCGTGGAGATAGTGCATACCCCTTGCTATCTGAATGGCCCATTGCACCAAAATTTCCGGAGGAATTCTCCGACCACATAAAACACGATTTAAAGATCCACCAGCAGCATATTCTATCACAAGACATAAATTGGGTTCTTTCAAGCACACTCCTTTCAAAGAAGCAATATTTACATGATTTAACAACCAAAAAACTTTGGCCTCCTGTCTAACACTTTCAATGGTTGCACTAACGGGTTCATCAGGGTCGTGTCTGGCTGCTTTGACAGCAACCTCCTCTCTTTTCCATAAACCTCTATAAACTTTACCAAACCCTCCGATCCCAATCACTTCTTCCAGCTGTAGTTCATTGAAGTCAATTTCAAATGGTCGATCAGGGATAACTTTTTCCTCGGGAAAGCTAAAATTGAGGTTGTTGGTGACAAAGTTACTGGGGAATATTCCAACACTGTTGCCGACCCGACCTGTCCACCATCCCTCATCTCCGGAGATGTGGGAGTCATAGGACAGGACCTCCACCTGACAACCTTTCCTAAGAGTCAACTCATCCTCTCTTTTGGCTTCATAATCAAATATTGCTGTCCAATATTTCTCATTGCTACCTTTTGTGTAGTATACATTTGTTTTTCTCGATGCCATCGAAGATGAAAGTGACAAAAATGCACTAGGCATTAGCACATGCTCTCAACTCTAAACGATGTCCATTGAAAAGAAACATCAACACTGATGGTGCTTTGCGAAGTTTGGGGTAGACTAATCCAGCAAGTGCTAGGTGTAAGAAAGTCAAAACTACCCCAAATTTAGCCATCAACTTACGTTAAGAATAAAATTCCAAATGAATTAAACACATTTTAAAAAAGATTTTCTCCCTAAATGCTTAAATCATGGCGTCAACCGCCTGTTTTGTAGCAGCTTTACCATTATCACACCATTGTCTTTCCGAGACCCAGAAAAGCCGCCATCTTATAATACTTTGACCTTGGGGCCAAAAAGGGGTGCGGTATATTTTTAATTTAATCATCTTCAAAGGAAGAATTTAAAAAAAAATTACTTTACTTCTATTTTATTTCTTCTATTTAAAAAAAATCAACATCAATTCTTTTTAATTCACATAAAAAATTGTTTTGAAATGTCGTAATTGCGAGAATTGCACGGGACTTCAACAAGAAAAATGGCTGCGCCCATGAAAAAGATTGTCCCTGGATTGACATTTATCAAACAGAGAAGTTTTCTTCAAAATATACGAAAACGATTTTTTAATCAAAATGTAAATGAATTTTGAATGTTTTTCTCATTTTTGCACTTAAAAAATCTTGCATATATAATTATGGTTCATATTTTATGTGAAAGTTTAAAAAGGTAAAGTTATA